TCATTAACGGAAAAAAAAATAGAGAAGAAAAGAGAGCAAGACAATAATCACTGACATAACATCTATTTTTTCCATACTTGTTTATTCCGTTGATATGTCTTCTTTTTCTTTTTCTTTTTACACCAAGAGCAAACAAATCGTCTTTTATATCTATTTGTCTGTATTTATCGATCGAATATATGACAATAAACATTGAATAAATGTGACGATCTGTAATAAACAAACAAAACGAGATCAATATTGACAATAATCAGCTTGTGATAGAATAGCGTAGCTAATATTAAATAAATAAATCAGAAGTATATTGAGAGACAAGATTCTTGTAGATATAATAAGAAGGTATTGATGAAACACATATGACTATTTAAAATCGATAATATAATGATACATTTAACAGTTTGGTAAACATGAATTTGCAGTCTGGTATCTGTTTATAGTTTATACATACATGGTATTTATCAAAAATTTGTAGCCTATATCGAGATATTTTATTTATATGTTGCATACCAGGAAGTGCATCAAACAATCATCTATAAATATCAATGATTTCTTTGGTAGTATAATGTGAAAATATATACGAGTAATGCCAGTAGATTTATGAGTTAGATCTGTCTAATTAAATCAAATGAAATAGAATCCTGTTTTTTTGTTACGAGATTACAAATAGAAGAAGATGATAATATTTGAAATGATTTCTCTTCATTTATACATACATTTCTTACTGATTCTAGTTTATAACATTATTGACATAGTCATACGATGAAAACGAAGATGTCAAAACCAAAACGTTTCTCATTCATGCAAATAAAGATTATTAACATTTCGATAATAAATACGCGATACATATAGAAGATTCTTCATCATTTCTTATGTATTTTACACATCTATAATTATCAACAACTAAACAGAAATCTTATGTTGATGTTATGTCATTTATCATATTATTAATGAAGATATGATTAAAATTGTGTCATATTGATTGTATATGTAATATAAAATTTTTTTCAATTTTATATTAAGAAAATTATCTTTAATAGAAGAATATTTTAATTCGTAAAAATAATAAAATAATCATCTTTTATTTAGTTTAATTTTCTACAATCCTTTTTTTTTTGTAAATCTTGATTGCTTCTATATTTATGATAGAAATATTTTATTTAAACTTTATATTACATCAAGTTCATTCAACGAAACTCTATACATGATAAATCTAGTCTTTTGTTGAAAGAAACTTTAGACTTTCGTCTTACTAACTACGTAAAAAAGATAACTGTTATCTGTTCAAGTTTGCTTTCATCTTCTTTGTTTTTTTTTCTTCGTCTAGTTATGATTCATTATTTCGAATACCTTTTTTTTTTTTTATTAGTATTAAGCATAATTCATATTGAGGAATTTGTACATAATCATAAACGTATAGATAAAATATAAGTTGAAAAATCACCTTGATGTGAATAGGTGCTTAACAATGAATTGTGCATAGAACAAAAAAAAATAATCAACTATAAAAATAACAAAGATGAAAAATTGAATCATTTTTTTGTGTATTCTTTTCCTAATATTTTTTTTTCCATTCTCAAATGTTACCAATAGAGAATTAAAAAAAAAACACAAGAAAAATATACAAATACATAAATAGAAAAAATTTGTTTTTATGCATTTTATCCATTGCGCACTTTGCCTGGTAAATATGTATCATAATCAATTTTTTCGTCTTGAAGAAAAACATGAAGTGAACGTTCATTTTGTGCTAATGGATGACCAGCAATTCTAGATAATAAATAATATTTTATAAACAAATTTTAATAAAAACAAAAAATATATTCTACATACTTATTAATAAATTCCTCAAGTCCTTTACGTCTATCTTCAATAAAATCATCATCAAATATACCATCATTACTACGAAGAAATGCTGGTATCTGTCGTTCCCATGCTTTGCCAGGTAATGGTGGAACAAGAATCTATTTATGAAAAAATTGTTATAAAAAAAAAAGAATTTTATTAATTATTTCTTTTACTTTACTATCTCGTTCAAGTTCTTTACGTAACCAATCAAAATCCGAATAACGACGACGTACAGAACATTCTTTTAATCGAAATACAGGTAAATTAGTCTATAATAAATAATAAAATTATTTAAAAAAATTATAAAAATACAAAAAAAAAAATCATTTTTACTTTCATTCGAATTTCATAATCAGTATAACGTTTACCAGCTAAACCATGAGTTAATGGATTTACAACTTCAATTTCTAAAAAATTATCTGGTGGTTCATAACGATCTTGAGAAGAAATCTAAATCATAAACAAAAAGAAAAAATTTGTTTATCGACTTTATTTATTTTTTTTATTTTAAATTTTCATTACTGGTGCAGTTGGTAATCGAGCAATTTCCGGACGACTTTCTGTATCCTTTACAGGCATTGATAAAGTCTATCTAAGCAAAAAAAAACAAAATGAAATCATCCGGGTACAACATTCTCAAATTACGAATAAGAACGCATTTACAACCAGCTGTTCGCACAAAAAAGAAAACGAAAGAAATGATAAGAAGAAGACATAGCGAAGGTTATTACTACGAATCCTCTGTCGATGCTTATCAACTATCTTCATACGAAAAATTATAATGCATTGATCATTTAATTAAAAATGTAAAATATAAATTAATAATTAATTAAGATTGAATAATAATGATATATCATTATTTAAAGAATTTGATAATTGATCAACTAATTATAAATATCTTAGATTTCTATAAAAATCAATTCGGATTTTGTTTATATTACAAGAAAAGCTTTTAACATCTTGTACAGGTCATTATAAAAGAAAAAGCGATATGTTCCTACAATTCGTTAATGTTTGATGATGCTCTCAGTTTTATTATATCTCATTGACTAAATTATTATTATCACATGAGTTCTATGATGATATATATGTATTAAAATTGTTGATTGGTATGCATAATTTCGATGACAAGACTAATGATTTCTTTGTTTGTCGTATATTTACTTGTTTCAGACTCCGGACATCTAAAATATTCTCTAAATCAAAGACATTGATATATATATGACACAACTGAGTATATTTAAACACTAGCATTTTCAAAATATTTTCATCGGTTTACAAAGTTTGAGATATTACGTTCTAATGATGAACTAATTAACGTGATCAATGATGTGAAACTACAGTCACTAAATATTAAATTATATACAAGTGCGTTACTAATTTTAGATAAATGACGTCAAAAAAAAAGAAACAAAATTACATACTTTTTCGTGATGGAGAAAAATGATTTTATTCTAAAGAATGAAAAGCGAAATTTTTTTCTTTTCGAAAAATCATATGTTTATATTCTTCAAAACGAAAATTCTAATTAGTTTCTAAATATTTTATGAAATATAAAAGTTCAGCTCTTGCTCACATTGTCGATCTTCTAGTTGGTTTGATCTTTGTCTGTAATCAAGAAGACATGAAGTTTTTTTTAATAACACAACGCATATGTTTTTCTGTGGAGAGAAAATGACAAAAAAGTCATCTCATACATAAAAAATATTCATTACAACATCAGTATGACTATCTCATATAATAAATTCATTTCATGATCATACATGTGGTGAGTAATTATTACTAATCGATTGTATAGAGTTTGCAATGCTAGTTTATCATTAATATTAATAAGAATGAATATCGTTAAGATTTATCGATATTTTATTCGAGTAGATAAATTTAAAGAAAAAAACAAAAAAACGAACAATATTCTATCGAATATTAACGTATGTTCGACTATAGAATATTATGTAAATCGTGAAAAATATGCCTACTACATACTGTTAGATCATTCAGTAAATTCACTGTTGTTTTCTGGAATATATGAATCAAACAATATTGTCATTTGACAATATTGTTTTGTTTCTTTTCTTAATATGAAAAAGAATAATTAGTTTTTACGCATAGCCTTGAGTAATAAAGTAGAAAGGTGAATATACTCTATTTTTATTACAGTAGAGGTAAGATTCACTGTTTTTTTTTAATAACAAGGATATACCGTATCAAATAACGCAAACTTAAAGGTGAGTATGTCAAGCAATAAATGAAGATCTTTTAAGTCTTATGATCCAACAATATGAGAAAAATATTTTTTGTATACATTTACTTTATTTTATTGTCTTCAGTAAATAAGTGAAGATATAATATCACATCTATGTTATTGAAACGAGAACAAAAAAAAACAAATCAACTATTATATGAACTTATTCGAACTCCTATTCAGAGAAGAAATTTAGTGGTCTTATTTGTATGAGCGATAGTATGATCTATTATTACATGAACAACGACATTAGATTATATAACAAAAAAAAAAATGTTTAACAATCATTGTCATATCGATACTTTCAAATTATTTGAGTGTACACTCGAAACCATCCTCATTCACATTTCAAAAATAAATTAATATTTTCTTCAATGAATCCTTCATTTTCTTTTCTTGAAACTATCTTTTCATACGTATAATTAGAGAAATGAACATTATACATACACTACACAATGAATCATATTTCTTTTGTCGATTTTGTAATTTGTTTTATGTTCTCTTATATATGACAAGTGTCTTATTAATACAAGACTATGAGTCAAAATATATCTTGTTTGTTGTAAATCACTGTGCGATTGTGATCCTTTAATAGATGTGAGAATAGTATTGTTTTTATTTTATTCCAGAGTCAATGTCGTACTTCATGCGCTTGTTCTACCTGGTTTATATCCAACTGATCCATCGATATTAAAAGTATTGCTTAAATCTGCAGCAAACTGTTGTAACTAAGACCTATGATAATTCGAAAATAAAACAATAATAAAGAATGAAGGATTCATCAAAGAATAGCGAAGGATGTAATTTAAAAAAAAAAATCCCTCGTATTCATAAGACTTTGTTATTGAATTAGATAAATAGTTTCGATTATGATTATTAATAAAATTTTTTATTTAATTTTAATCATCAATAGATGCCTTCTGAAAAGATTAAACTGTTTGATGCACGAAAACTTTTTACTTCTCAAGAAAAACGAAATATTTTTATTTATTTAATTGGTATAATGCTTTATAAATTTGGTATTGAAGCATTTGTTGGTGCTATAATAACACTTGCTACAAATCGTTATGATCAAGATGCATATAAAACTAATACATCAACACGTACATTTGAAAAAGTTGGATTAATTATTGGTCTTAATCAAGCATCTCAATGTATAGGATCTGTTTTAATTAGTCCACTTGTTAAACGTTGGCGAATACAATTTGTTCTTTCAATAACAATTTTTATTTTTGCATTATCAACAGCTATATTTATGATTATTGATGTTACAACTGGTGGACGTATAAAACCCAAAGATTTTAAACCTGAACATAAAAGTGATTTTAATTATTATGGTAATTATCGTACTGATATTATTATACCAATTTATTGTATATCTGGTATAACACTTGGAATGGTTGAATCAATTCGACGTATTATTCCAGTTAATATTGTTGGTGATGATATAATTAAATTACGAAAAATGAATGCTATTGTTCATGTTTTCTATGAATTATCAGGTGTTAGTGGAGCTTTAATAACTGCTCTTGTATTAATTCCTCGTTTAGGAAATAATTATGCATTTATTATAACACCTATTCTATTTACTATATCAGGATTAATTTGGTTATTAATTCATTCTATTTCTAAACAAGAAAATAATGTTAAATGTGAACAATTTATTTCATATGTAAAAAAATCAAAATCAAATTTTCTTAAAGAATTTATAAAACCACTTGTAATTTTTATTCAATCAATTTATATTGGTGGAAAAATAGTTTTTACAAATCGAAAATTTATTTGGTTATTTATTGTATATCCATTAGCAATTTATTCACATCGATATATTGAAAATAGTATTAGTCCACAAATTGCAAGACGTTATTTAGGTCATTCGGATTGGTCACAAATTCTTGTTAGTGGTTCGAATTTTGGAGAATTACTTGGAGCTTTATTTGTATTTTATTTCAATGATATTATTAAAAGTCCGATATTACCAGTACGATTTGATGCATTAATGTTATTAATTATTTGGTATATTCCATTTTATTATCCACCTATTAATGAAATAAAATATGCTTGGATTATATCAGCATCATTAATACCAATTGGATTTGCTTCAGCTATTGGTGATATATCTCTTGATGCATATATACAATCATCTTTAACACGTCTTGAATCAAAACATAAAAATGTATCACCATTAGGTGCTGTTATATCATTTCTTTATTCAACATATATTATTATATATTCAATAGCAAATCCACTTCTTGGTAAACATATTGATTATATTTATAATAAAAATGGAACTGTTCATCAAGCACTTATTTATACAGCTAGTGTATTATTAACAATTATATTTATTTTAATGTTTTCTGCAACATTTATACCAAAAGGTACTCTTACATTTAATCCAGTATTAATTGATGAAGATGACAATACTATGACAAATGATAATCATGAAAAATTAAATGCAATACTTCATGAAAATGTTGATCTTGATTAAATTTTAAAAATCATATAATACAAAAAATTATTAATCGTTTTTTATTTTTGTTCTATATAGCAAATAAAATAATTTCTAAATTAGTATTTATGTAATATAGAAACGATATAATTTCATATATGAAATAAACAAGCTGGAAAATATTTTTTTATAGCTCTTTTTTTTTTGTTTTTTCATTTAATTTATTTCTATTTAGTAATAAAATCTAGAAATTAAGTTTCAATTTTCATTTTATCATGTAGTTCATACTTCATAAATCAGATTTTGAACGCAAATTAAATAAAAACATGCCAAACAAATCAGAATAGAATAGTTTTGCAGAAAAGTTTTATTATTGGAAAAAATCAATGAACAGGATTTTACTGAAAAAAATGAGAATAAAATCATAGCTACCTTTGCAAATCACGTAAGACATAAAATAACTTAATGTAATAAAGTTATATAATTATTTCACTAAATTAAAATCTCTGACTCATTTGGATTTTTATTAATTCTTTAATTAACTACGCTCATTTCCTATGAAAGTACACATACATATTGTTTTTTTTTTAAAAACCAAAACAAAAAAAAGAAAAAGAAAAATAAATGACTTGTCGGAAAAACATCAAAATAGATGTAGAAAACTAAAATTTACTAAATTGATTGTTGAAAAATTTGCAAGCTTGAATAACATAATGAGATCTTTCAGAAGACATAAAAGTTATCTAAGGTGATAATATTTTTAACCAGTGGATACACGATGATTAAAAAATATTTTTCGAATATCATTTATTGTATGACATTCATTGATCATACCATTGACACGATCTGCAACGTATAAATATCTGAACGAAGAATTTTTTTCAATTTCTTTCATCATAATATGACGAAAACATTGATTATATGTTGTTTCTTCATTCATCATCCAATAAATAATATTTTGAATAATACGTTCAGCATTGACTAATGGAATGTATTGACCACCTAAAATCAATAAGAAAAAATTTTTGTGAATAAAACTAAGAGTATACTTGTTTTTTACCGGTGTTCTGAGCTAATGCGCAATAAAAATCATCACATTCATTGATACTTTCTGAAACACCAACAACGACTAAAGTTATGTTATTTTCTTTAAATTTCTTCGAGAGTATCCAAGGATCTGCACCATTTAACGTTGTAAAAAGACCATTCGGAGCACCATCAGTAATTAAAATAACAAGTTTTTCGTTGAATGTCTGATCATTATTCTGAAATATATAAAAACAGTGCTTATAAACCTGCAAAAATTTTACAGACATTAGCACGCCATTCCATGTTGAAAGCTTCATGCAACGCATCACCTTAAATAATAAATATAATATGAATTCCATGCAAAGTATTCATTTAGATTATCCTTGAAGAAGTTTCAAAAAAAAAAAATTTTTCTTTCTGCCGAAATTTGAAAATTCTATTTCTTCAGCTTTGATACGCTATTCTTATCTTATCAAGAATCACCGTAAGTAATAAAAAACTTTTGCAATGTATTTTGTTCAGTGAAATAAAAACGAAGTCTAAAAGAAAAGAAACTCTCTTATAATGAGGTCGCCGGACTTCAATGTTTTAAATATTTTTTCATTTGATTGGTTCATGCTTGTAATAATGTCCTCTATTATTTATTAATCGTCAATCTCTCATCTGTTGTTTTGTTTTTTGTTTTGAAATCAAAGTTCATTATCAAAAAAAGAAAAATACAACAACAACTTAATATTTTATGTGTACATTATTTTTATCATGATCATACAGTCAATGATTTCTTAGATCGATTATTCTATGTAATCGTGAAAAATATTGCATCGAAAAAAAAATATATATGAATGATTATTTTCAATTAGTAATTGGGTATTTCATTAATTTATTTATAAAGGATCATTTATAAAAGACATTCAAATCAAGGAAGAACAGAGAGATGAAAATAGATCAAAATTGAAAATTATGGATAGAGACAAGGGAGATGTCTAGCTTATTTGTCTTTTATTTTCGCTTGCTGAAAAGAATTGATGTTTAAAAGAAGGTTTGTCTGTCTGTAGGATTTACATTTGAATATAAATATGAATCGAAAATAATAGGAATGAAAGAGCGAGAGAGAAAGTAAAAGAGGCATTTAATGAAGTAAGATTAAACATTATATAACCATTAGAGATCGATATATCATTTAGTCCTACGAAGACCATAGATCCTCTGATCATTGGCTTCTGTGTAAGTTAAGGGTAAGTTTCTGTACTAGCGATTCCTTCATCTTTCGATTCAGTAGGTGTTCTAAAATGAATTCAAATACTTCTGAACGACTAGACGTTTTTCTCACAACTTTCGCTGAAATTTTAAAACTTAGTTTGTTTTAAAGAGCACTTTTAAATAGGAAATGAACTGAATATGGCCTTGAAATCATTAAAGATTATGCTACATGAGCAGATAATTATTTTGTGGAGCAGTTATAATAAGATTTTCGAATGTCATTCGTATTGAACATCTTGTTATTCAATAAAAAAACGTTTGAATAGAGGATCGAGAAATGAAAAAATGTGATTTTTACCTGGACATTTTCATTAATTTATTTATAATATCAATTAAATTATAAATGATGCTGTTCTCTTGATTTTGTATACAACAAATTTTTTATGATTGGTCAAGCTTGCCATGTTTATCTTTCTTTATAATGAGAATTTTCTTTTCTATATATATTCTTTCATAATACTATCATATCTTTTAAGAACAGGTTTATGAACTAGTATAACTTAAAGTTTTTATAGATACATCGCATCTTAATTATAGGTAAAATATCTGTGTAAAACTTTTGAACTATTCTGTATCTGATCTGTGTTAGCATTTTTTAGTATATTACAAATTTGAAACAAGACTCAAAGTTACGTTAAACATTGCTGCAAGCAAATGTATTGCTCGTTTCTATTCTACATACGGATGAATACAAAACTGATCGCAAGAGAAAGGATTAAGAAGTTGATATATACATAATACTACAGTTATTGACGATTATGTCGAAGCAAATAATGTCATAAATAAAATAATGAAGGTTACACAGATCATTTACTAAAACTTTATATAAGTTTAACAAGAAAATAAATTACTTCTTTAATCGTTAACATTTAATTTAACAAAAAAAATATGTCTTTTAAACGATATCTCAAAAGCTATTTTATATGAATCTTATTTTAATCACAAAAAAAAAAACATGAGACATCGTTAAAAATACATATTTTTAATAATATTTCATGATCGACAAAGTAAAATCTCTCTTTATTAAACTACTAAATTTAAATAATTTATTTTATCAGACACATAGATAAAAAATATGCATCAGCTGTAATAATGATGATTATATTGTAATGATTATAATCAGAAACAAATAACAAATGATAAGAAATTCAATAAATCTCACTTTAATCATTAAAAAAAATCTGTTTATCTTACCCACAGCTTCATATTCATCTGGACTGCCACCACCTAGCTGATCATTAGAGAGCATTTGTTGAATTGTATCTATGTTTTGAGTAAATCCATAGACTTGCGTTGTCCATGCATCATGACGTGATCGAAATTTAATAATACCTATGCGAACATCACTTTGAGTTGCTAATGCCCTCACACAAATACCTAAAACCGTTGTACGAATTTGATTGAAATACGACATTATTGATGATGTGTGCTCAATACAAAATACAATATCGCTTTTTGTAGACATTGTATGATTAATACTAATTTAAAACAAAAAAATCTAAGTATATCGAAATATGATAAAACAAATAGTTTAAGTAATATATATGCTATGTCAAAAAGAAAATGCTTCTACTGTTTAAAAAAGAAACGGCTACATCGAAGAAAAAAAAAAAGGAGAGAAAGTACTAAATGCTCACAAGAGTATTTTCTTTCTAATTCTTTATTTTTTTCTCTCATCATTCTCGTCTATGGCGATTTCTTTTTCTTTTTTCATTGCTGTATTACCTACTATTTATCATAGTTACTAGTCAATAAAAGAGAGAAAGATATGTAAATAGGCTTCAAGATGACGATACCTATTTCTTTCTGAAACTGACGGCTATGTTTGTCTTTTTTTTTTCATATGATGAAGGTTCACTTTCGCAACAGTAGACTGATTGTCGTCAATATCCTTTTTTTTTTCCTCTTCTTTATTATTCATATACTTATCGCACTGGTTTTGTGTTTTGTCCTAACCGTTCTCTTTGAGCATCTATGATTTCAAGGTCTCTGTATTCCGCATTTCGTTTTTCTCTTTCAGTTGAAACAACAAGAGTTGAGTAATCAGAAAAAAATTACAAGGCGACATCAATCTTCATAATCATATATTGGAACAAGAGAGAGATACATTTATACACATTTATAGAACACTGAGAACTATTTTGTGAAGAATGTGCTGAATTCGCTTTGACTTCTGCCTGTTTATGCAACTAAACAATGTATATAATAGTGATTATCTTTTTTATTTCTACATTGATTGATTCTATTCGTCGTAGCTGTTCATATATGGTTTTTATAATTCTAATCCTTTTTACTTCTGATAAAGTTCATGTTTTCATGTAATCAATAAATAGAAAAAAAAAGATTTCACATGATTGAAATATAAGTAAATTTTTGACATAGTAAAACAGAAGAAATAGATGGACGTACATAGCATAAAATAAAGACAACACCTGATATAATTGATGGTAATAATTCTCAAATAAGTATTTATATGTGAAAATATATCGTATATGAATAGATTTCATTATTAAGTGATAATAATTCAATAATGAAAAGATAATTTTTATGGACTTGTGTAAAATATTATAAATTAATATTTTGTAACTTTTTTTTGTCTATTCTATTATAATTCCTGTTTATTTTTATTTTTTCTATTACAATCATACCCTACGTGTTATTCGTAAGAACATAATTCTTTTTTCTCTCTGTCATTGATGATGAAGAAAAAGGAACCTTATGAAAATGTACTTCTGGTATAATATACTTTTCTTCTCTTTTATTAAAAGAAAATCAATCAGTGATGAAAGGTAAAAGTAATATGAGATTATTGAAGATAAAAGATTATATTGATTCAAGATAGTTTGTCAACATATATATATATATATATTAATAAGAATATCTACTCAAGTGAAAAACAAACACAGCTGACTATTGATGGTTTTGTGTTTTTGCTAGAGAGAGAGCATGATGAATGAGTCATTTCGTATGATTCATCATCAATACAATATTTCTTTAACAGACATAATATGTTAACAGCTATTTGTATCGATAATTTGCAAAAATGAATTATGACATGAAAAGTAAAAGGAAAAAATAAAAAATCGTCAATTCTTACATAATGTCTAATTGTCGTCTTCATAACTTAAGTTTCTTATTTAGATATATCATAATGTAATACTAAAAAATCCAAATTCTTAAATTGTTGGTCAATAATTCTTGTTGATTATCAAGTCCCGCTAGTTCGAGTTTGTCAGAACTATTAATATTAAAGATTGTAAGGAAAATTTGTTCAAGAAGGTACAGTCATATAATAGATTAGAAGATAAAAGCAAGATTGATGATTGAAATTTTGTCGTATCGTTTATCGTTTATATTTCAATATAATGACATCAATAGATATTATTATGTTTTTTATGTTGAACTAAAGTACCAAAGATTACATGGAATTTCAATGTGCATCATGATGATATAAATCAAGTATAGCACTATTTGAATCGTACATCGTAATATTTTTTATTCCATTATTCATTCTTCATCTATTTCTCAAAATGATTGATGAGCTATCGAAATTATACAAATATGAGCGTCATATTGTATTTGTAATAATTTATTCGTTTAGAGAAATAAACTTTGATGTCGGAGAATCAAATTAATACAACATTCGTTTTTTATCTTTTTTTTTTTTACTGACCATAAAAGTCATTGTGTCATTAATATTAGAAATTATTGAAACATTCTATTGAAATTGTTCGATTTGATAGAAAAAAAAACACAGATATTCGATATTGATATTTTAATATGTTGATCACTTACAATGTCGCACCTAATCTTACTTGATGGAATGATGATTTTGAAAACATGTACAGTGACATACTTTTCAATTTATTTAGTTATAGTATAGAAGACTGATAAGATATATTATGAATTGTCAAAAACAGACATAACTAAATAATTAATACTTTTAGTGAATTGATTCGTGTTATTTGTTTATATGAAAATTTAGTGTTAAATAATATCATACAGTAATATACATTTAAACTCATAAAAAAAACACGTAAATAAAAGTAAAAATTGAATTGTGTCATTTTGACAAACAAAGTTGTTTTCATCTGATATAAATGGAATGTGAAGTTGTTATACATATAATCTTTTCTCTTTATTGAGATGTATATTATGATGTTTAACCAAATGCTAGTAAAACGGCAAAACGGTGCTCTTGTTAGGAAAGATGTACTATTTGTTTTCTTCCTCTGTTCCATTATCACATGTTAAATATCATCATAGTATCCAAAGAAAGAGAATTGAGTACATATAGTAAAACTTCTCTTAAATGAACACAGTTAGGACTTTTGAAAAGCATTCATCTATAACAAATATCATATAGTTTTTTACTACAAAATAAAAAAAAGTTTTAGAATAAGTTTCTTTACTAATTTTGAAGTAATCAGAGACTATTCTCTCTATTATTCATCTTGTTCGATTTGAATATTTTTGAATACAAAAAAGATTTCAACATAATACAAAACTGTACGTTTTTTTCCATAAATTCTTTGTATTTTAGTTGCAGTCTCAACATATAAATGAATTTCGTGAAATGTCAAAGCTTTTGAATTTATATTTAGTTGTTTAATTTTATTCGTTTGACAATCATTTACATATTATTTTCTTGGTTTTGAAACATTGGATATAGAATGAATTGAAATATTCGAGTTTTGAGTTAATTCATGCTATGATGAACCGTTGCTATCATTGTAAATCGTTAATTTATTAATTGAATTTTTTCATTTATTGTAAGACAATATATTGATGTCATTGCTTTTCCTCATATATACCACTTATGTTCATTTCAAAGAGTTTCAAATAGCAATCTGGATTGTAAAAAGAATGTTCATGCTTAGATTAGGATAGAAGAAGAGAAAGCATATTGCACGGTAGATGTTAGAAAAATCTTTTGAATTAGCGTACAGGATATGAAAAAAATTTATCCTTTATATCTGTATCTCGTAGGCCTAAGGTCTTTTTCAAGATGGAAGACCTTCATCAAATCAGCTGTGTTCATTATTATAGGTTTCATTGTAATTGAATAGGAAAGGGTGTGGGTTTTTCCTCTCATTACACCTACACACACACCACTTCACAATCACAGCCACACCCCCTACAAGTTAACAGCTCATTAAATTGAAATAGTGAAGCTCAATGTTTAGTAAACTCTAGAGATTTCAGGAAATTTAAATATATAATTGAAAGTAGAAGTTGTAGTAAAATTGTTATCAGTCACTATTTTGATATTTCAAAACAAAAATTTGAGACCTAAGATTGTTTTCAATTTGAATACACTAGATTAAAAAAACAACTGACATTGAATTTAACGGAATTCGAATTTCAATTTTATGTTCGCAAATGAGAAAACACGGGCGTCGGCTGATACGAAAAAAAACAAATTGCGTCGAGAAATACGAGTCGTAAATCTAAAACGTTTTCTTTCAAGTCTACGATTATGATTGTCGCCAAAATCGATTCCTTGAACTGTTTTACGCTATCAAAAAACGGCTTGCTAATCCGATTAATAATAGCATCATTGAAGAGATCTACAACATTCATGTGAGTGAAACCATTTTATATTTTACATTTCATTATACTTCAATCGATTAATACTGAGCTTTTTGAAATTAATTTCGACCGATGACAATCAACTGACATCAATAACAATCAACGTTCTTTGTTAACATAGAGGACCTCTCATAATTATTCACTCATGCTTATTTTCAA